TGGCAAGAATAAAAGCTCCTGTGTCAGTCAACAGTTTATAAATACAGCAGGAGAGAGAACTGCAGTGTATGCTCCATGAGGAGGAATTCAAACTGGTGTCCAGAAGTAGCAATATATTTTTAAGTTAGAAGAGAGAGTGGGAAAACGTAAATGAGTGAACAGAAGGTTTCTATAACTCTGTGTGGAGGCTTTTTGTGCACCGTTGAAGCAGTTGGGCGTTGTCAGTCTCTGAGAATAATTGCGAGGGGGACTGAACACAGAATAAAGGACTTGAGGTCTGAATGTCCTTTCGTTTGCACCTACAGGTTTCCTGGAAATCAAAGAGTTTACTCCAGTTTAAATCAAATATAAGTAAATGCAGATGAGGTTTATGACACATTGGATAAGAAAAGGGAAACCCCAGAACTGCCTCCTCCCAAAACCTCTCCCAACCTTAAGGGACAGAGAGAGGCACATGGGTGAATTTCAAGGGAGAGTTGTTCAAAATATGTCCCATTAACATGGTTGAACAAGGAAGCTCAAGCTATCTTTACAGCTAACAATTTGCATTTGCAGATTTCCATTAAGGTTTTATTATTTACTCCACGTGCCAAATTGTAGCTAGCCTAGAGTGTTAAAAGCTAATTAAATAAAATTCCTCCTAAAGCTCAATCTCATATCTACTCTCTGTTTCTTTTCATTTCCTTTTTGGTTTTGTTTTAATTGAAATGTAGACGCAAAAAGAAAACTTTTGGTTTAAGAAGAGAACTTCTAGTTAAAGAAGAGCCAAAGGCATCATTGATAGCTTCTTCTAGCAGCAAATGTGGGGCTAAGGATACATGTCTTCTAGATTCAGCTGTGCCATTGAAAAAGAAAACCAACATCAACTTTTTCTTCCCTTCCTTCTCGCTGCATGCCAAGATTTCAAGCCTTATGGTAGGACCTGCTCAAGTAAGTGCTGTTTATGACAATTCGGCTACAAGCAGCTACATCAGCAATACCTGCTCTTGAAACTCTCTGAGGTAAATGTAACCTTATTCTGTCTGAAGTTGATTGCGGTGAGCAAAGACAGGCTACCCCGCTGGCAGATGTAGTGGGTGGTGAAAAGCAGGGGTAGTGAGTTCAGTGAAACATAACTACTTACACTAGCCCTACGTACATTAAGAATGTGCCTCTTACTGTATCTTCAGTGGAAAAATTATATTGGAAGAGCATTAGAAGACAACTGATGATGTAGAAAATATGTATCCAGAGTTCAAGGAACATCAGTCTGCTTCCTGAGAGGATCAGTCTGTCGTATTTAATGGTGTCTATGTATACGCATGAGAAGAGGAAGACCAATAACTAGATGAGCAATACTAATAGTTTATTCATGTTTCTGGTTTTCACGTTGTTTCAATGTTTTTTAACTTCAGAAAGTTGAGAACCAGAACTGTATTTCTGAAGCACCATCTATGTTTTTTGTGCTCCAAACTGTATCTATCAGTTAAAATATTTTTATCCAGTTTCAGGTATGAAATCAGATGTTGATTTTTAACTCTGGACTTGACAATAAAGAACTATATTAATTATTAATAAATCACAATATTTGGTCAGTGTTCAAGTGTTCAATTCTGCATAGGTACAGCAGGGAAAAGAGAAGCATATTTGGTGAAACATATTCTCTAGAACAACAACAAAATACATTAACTTCAGTCAGTTTTTCTATTGACTTCTTGTGTTTCCCAGATAGGGAAGAATTACAATTTTAGCTCCTTGATCTTCTGAAGTGATTAAAGTAATGATTCAAAGTTGATGATGAAGTATTTATGACTGTGAGGACACCAGGGAGAAATGAGATTTCCACAACATGATTTTGAAGCTGTAACACCATCTCTGCTTTAACATGAAACTTGGCGAGGTACCATCAGAGCACGCCACCGTCAGCATAACCGGGCGCTTTGGATTTTTCACCAAAGTCACAGCAGGGTTTCAGTTTGAACTTCAGTGAGAGTAACATTAAGCCCTCTGTGAGGAAAGAGGCTATTTTAGCTGTTGACTTGAATGGAGTTGGATTAGGTCTTGATTTATTCTGGAGATGTGTGGTGCAGACAGAGAGGCAACAAATTCAAAGACATCTGCAAAGACAAGCAGCTAAATCCAGGATACTTAGAATGGACAGTTTCTGAAAAATAGGGGCCTAGGAAAGCGGGAAGAGCTTCCTAGCATAGATAAACTGAGACATGTTTCAGTGACAATCTCCGCTGTAAGAACAGGGAAATTTAAAGCAGAGATTTTCTCGTATCAATTCAACTTGGATCATAAGGTAGAATAGATAACGCCCAGGCTGTACAATGTCCTGGGCTGATGTATCTGCAGAGTGTGGGTCTACTGCCACAGGTCTCTGCTTGCTCCAAAATCTCTGCACCACATTTCATTACGTGGTCATTATGTGCCGTGGGCCTCCAATATTATGGATATTTTGGTCCCTTCCTGAAACAAAACTTAAAATTCTCCAGCATTTCTCTGCTATTGTTCTCACCAGCTTTCACTGTTTGCATTATTCTGATTTCTTTTCTTACCTTACAACTGTCAGTTCTGCTAAAATTCATAATATTGGCAATAAATCCCCCCCCAATTAAAAATGAGGTTTTGTTCTAGTTTTTTATATGACCAAAAATCAAAAATCATGTAAAAATTGTACAGTTTTGTGGGGATTTTTTCCTAAAAAGTGAACATGACTGACAAAAGATGAGCTTTGTTTAAATCGCAAAACATAATATTTTCAGCTACTTAAAAGGCCAGTGCATAGGGATATTTTTTCCTTTTTCCTGAATCTAAAAAAAATTTTCAAAGGGAATTTTTTTTTTTCATTGTAAAAGAAGCTGATCGAAAATGAAATACCATTTAAAAAATACTCATTCTAATTAAAAAAAAACAGAAAAAAATAGAGGCTTTGATTTTGATGGGGGCTTAGGAAGAGAAGGAAACTCTCAGTAGCTGATTCTATCATTTTTTTATCAACAACACAAACTTTTATGTTTCTAGTAACAAAAACAAATGGAAAAAATCAAAGTAGAAGAAATTATTCCTCTTGGTTTTTACAACGTATTACTCCCCAGCTCAAAATAAAAGCACACCATCCATTTTTGTTTCATTCATCATCCATTCTTTGCGTTGACTTTAAGCTGCTTTATTTCCTTTGTATAAATAGTATTTGCATTACTGATGCAAATTTAAGATCAGGTAGCTCATGCTCTCTGCACAGGTCTGTAAGCAGGAACACAACGCAAGGAGCTCTTGTACCTACTGTACCCTCATCTGTGGTTTGCAGAGTTTAAATCCTGCACTCTCTCAGAGTCTCCACAACAAATTAGGAACACGCCTATGAAGATGAAGAAATCCTGTATAACACTTTGCTCCTCTTCCCATTAGCAAAAAGCTGGACACGTAAACTCTGATTCATCATTTCTCTTCAGCTCTGAGTAAGAAAGTTTTTTCATTTTTAGCATTTTAAACCTACAAAATAGGACTAAAAGGAATTTAGGAGTAGAATGAAGTAGATGCAGACAGTGAACTATATTAAAGGATAACACAGGAGGTCCCTAACACATAAAGCCTCCACTAAATAGCTGGAGATACAATTTCCCTAATGACTGTGTGCTAATGACGATATAAGGCTGAAGTGACTAGTCTCAGATTTCCTGAGTGAGCAAAGATGTTGCTTCCTTGTCTCCAACAGAAGTACAGATATTTTCAGACATATTGAGTAGCAACTATGATGTTCCTTCTTTCCCCCAGCCCAATCATTGCAGAAGCTATGCTAGGACTATTATGCATAAGAAACTTCTTGGACCTGTTATAACAATAAATTCAGGGTAAATGAAATTCACAGCTTTGGAGACATGCCTTGAAATTTAGCTTAAATTTTCTGGAGAATCAAACACTTTCACAGGAGACTCAGCAGCAAGTCACTGGTTAACTGCTGAGACTGTAAAATTTTGGGTCAAAGAAGAATAATTCAGGGCATCTTTTGATTCCTGAAACTGGGTTGAGTTCACTTTGAAATTGGCCTATATTTCATTCACATGTAAAACTCACGCCACAATCCCCCTGAACTACATTCGACTTACGTAACTTGATGCTGTTCTAATTCCTGGCAGCAGACTGCATTTCCCACCATTTGCAGTGCCCAGCTAAGGTGCATTCAGACATTTGGGAAACTGGGATCAAGGTTCCCAGGCTTATAATTCCTAAATCTTTTTTTTTTGTTTGTTTGTTTTAAGGATCTTCTGTCCTTGTTGACTGACTCATTCCCGTACAAGGCGCACACACGCTGTGGAAACTCATGAAACTATCAAAGCCTTCAGACAGAACCTGACGCATACCTCAGGAAAACATCGACCAGCTGCAACATTTTGATTAAACAATAAAAACGTTTTGAGATGGAAAGGGGATGAACTGAGTCAGGTAGAAGGACGTCTTGCATTTATCAACTTCTTTTGCCTTACTGTATGTGAAAATTCCCTGACTGATGCTCACACATGTATATACTCATTATATGTACGCTGTGTGTTACTTTTGGCATTAAGATCTTTTCCTTACAGGTGAGCATTTGATGTTTAAACATAATGTGGGGAGAAGAATGGTAACAAAATATTTGATCTACAAGTAGACCAGAAGATTCCTGTAATATATTGAAAAACATGAATGATAAACACATAAGACAAACCAACAGCAGCATTTATTAATTCCATGATTGTAATAGATGCTTCTGCATACCAGAGAAAAAGAAGCAAACAGCTTTTTATCTTCTACTCGATTAAATTTGTCTGTCTTTTCTGGTCAGATTTTGAAGTTATACTATACCACTGAAGCACTCCTTTAATCTTCTCCTTTGTTAATTCCTCAATGTTTTTCTGCCACTGCTCCCTTTATGTTTGAATAGGGAAGCTTGTTTCTAGCTCTGTGACCCATATATCTGAGGTTAAAATCTTTGGTTTTATCTCTGATTGAATAGTTCACATTGGGAAACTACTTACCTGTCCAGCAGTGTCTAGAATGTCCAAATAGGCTGGTTCGTCATCAATTCGGACTTGAGTTTTATAGGCATCCTCTGAAAAACACAGTGCAGTACGACTAAGCATAGGAGTGGCTCAGAGAATGGAAAATGAAATAGCTTTGCTAGTTTGGAGTAGGCTTTTCAAAACCTCTCCAGTCTGACCTAACTTTTCTTTCTTTCAAGTCAAAAAGACTCTTTCTGAAATCCTACTATCACTGCAAAGTATTAGTAAAAGGGACTGATCTAGTCTTTTCTGTTACACTACCTCAAAATATTAAAGAAGTAAATTTGTCTCTCTTTAGAAGGATAGCACAGACCATAGGTGGTGTTTAAGTCACAAAGCTTCAGAGGCGTTGTGCTGGTGCTGTGCAGCAGAGTGGTTTTTACTTACCACCATCACACTTCCACAGAGCTTTTCCAGCAAATAGTTTCAAGCTAAAGATTGTCTAAATTACTGGGACAGTGTCCCTGTGGCTGAAGGGGGCTTCTGGCTCAGATATGTCAGAGCAATTAATTAGACCTCTGTATACCTCTGGAGAAGATGCAAATGGCTTTTTTAAACTAAATTCTGTAATGAGCGTCCCCATACACATCATGGCTGGGGGTGGAGGGGGGAAAAACTGTGCTTGGTGGACATGATATGTGTCAAGCTAAATTTGGAAAGAGAAAAACAAAAAAGGTGAACTGCTATTTGCATAAACGGTTTTCCTCACATTTAAATTTTGTTCTCCTCTCAACATTTGCATTTACTTCCTAAGGTTAAATGGACCTTAGATACCAGGCCATGTTCATACTTGAAATAGTCTTGGAAAATATCTGCGCTGTTTAATTAAACAATAATGCATAGCAGCCGGGGTGGTTTTGGTGACTGATGTTCTGCTTTGGCTGTGCATTGAGGTGTGAAGACAAGACAAGTACATCTAGTGCATCTGAGAAGTGTCATTAATCATCATGAGCATATGGCTGGCCCTGTACAAAGACTCAATCCTGCAAGCCCTGGTTGCCAGAGACCCTCAGGACTAGGCTCTCAATGTTTATTGAGATAATATTGGGATTATAATATGAGATTATATTGCAGGTAGCTGGAATTCTCAGGACAGTCCAATTTGTACCCTTTGTATCTTGCATCATATGACACTCTGTAAAAGCAGGTAAAAACTTGGTTTCCACCTGCACAAAGGAAACGCTAGAGCATTCAGATATGAAGGATTCTGTATGGCCTTAACTCAGCCCAGTCCTGTGCAGTCAGTGGCAGGCTATCTTTAATAACATAATCACATACAGTAATTTCCATGACTCTCCTGCTTCTTTTAGGCCTCAGTTCAGCAAATTACTTAGGCACATGCCTTGCTTTAAACAAATACCTAATCCCATTGATATTAGGAGGACCCAGAGGCTTAGGTAACTGTATAATACATTGCCCTGCTAGGAAAGCCAGAGCACTCCAACCAGCATATGTTTCAGTCAATAGATCTCTTTCTAGAGATTGCTGAATAAGAAACTCCATGCTAAAGATGGACCGTATAGAGTGAAATAGGCTATTTACGGTTCAAGTAATCTATTGTGGTACAACAATGATGTGTGCAGTAGAATTTTTATCTTTTAACTAAAAATTAAAACAAAGTATGAAAATACGTAAAATGAAATATGGTGTTTCCTTCATATAGATTCTATTAATACTCTAAAGTATTATTAATATATTGCCATGCAGGTGGGTGCCCATTTGCATTACATTCATGAATACGTAATTAACATATGACTTGCATAAATTTAGCTTGCACTCTTGGCTCCGCAGCTGGATACTCTGAAGCCAATATTCTGTGGTCCTATTTCTCTCTTCACCTAGACCAATCTGAGTTTTAATACAGCAGCTTTAAAACAGTTAATGCAGAGAGACATTTGGATACTTAAATTCAGCTTGGATAAAAATGAAGCTGGAATCTAGATAAATCCTGTCATACTTGCTAAGGAAATGAATTAGGAGTTCAGAGTTATTAACTAAAAGACCCACTGGCTTCTGAATATGTCATAGCTTTCAGTAAGTAAATGTAAGATATCTACGTCTAATCCCTGAGCTACTCCAGGTGTTCCCCGATATCATGCCACTGTAATCAGTTTCAACTGTTAAAAGCTGGAGCGAGGTTATGTTTATAACCCTTTTACTTTGCAAAGGTAACACAGAACATACAACCCCATTGTGTTATTTTCATTTGTTTTCTCAAACTACTGACCTTAAAACACTTCACAAAGATGTGCCAGTGTGAAACTGTCCTGGTTTCATTCTTAATATATGCTAACGTCTTCTGTTGGTGGTAGTGAAACAGATTTTGTTGGGCATTGACCAAGCACATGAATCTAAACGGTTTTCTAGGCAATTGTATTTGGAACGTGCCGTTTACTTGTAGTATTTGCCTTTGCCCCAAGAAATGTGGAGATGAAACCGGAGGGAGATATGACTTTCCTTTGTAATATTCTCTCTCTGCATATGTGCAAAAAGCAGGTTAGTACAGATAATTTAGAAAAGCTTAAAAATATCCTCAGCTGGGGTGTGATAAGCAGCGGTATTCTCAACCTGTATCTGTATGGAAAATAAATGGGAGATTTAACACCTACTTTTCTTATGGCACTCATTTAAGAGGAAGTCCTAAAGCCCACACTTATCAAGGGAATTGCTGTCTTGAGCTGACACCCTCATACCAGAGATCAGATCAGAGCACCCACTTATGACCTATCAGCTTCTTAATGCTCAAGCACAACCAGTCTTTTGAGGGGCACGATCTTTCTCTTTACTCTGTGTTCACTGATCTCCTGGGCTACTAAGACAGTGAATTTTTCCAGTGCAGAAGGTAGAAGGAAGATGTATAACTTGAAAACCATGTTTCCCATCTCATGTCGTATAGACCAAAAAGACAAACTAAGAGTGGAAGAGCTGTACCATTTAGTTCTGGTCTACAAGTAATACTTTTAAACTGGGATTTCATCTCAGGAGTAATGGAAATAGAGCTAAGTGAGGGATTACATAGACAAACATCTTTATTTTACTCTGTTGGACTACAGAGCAGAGGCATTAATCTGGAAAGAAACAGCCTCCTAGAGATCAAAAGTTGGATATGTCTGTACGTTGGACCCCGTTAACATATTTTTTGTTTTATTAATAGCTATAACGTTAAGCAGAAATCCTGGTGCCTTCGCACACTTCCTAAGGGATTTCAGAAGGGACTACTATGTGGCTAGTCTTTTTAGTCCAGGCAACATAGTACACATTAGGGTCACATTAAGGAAACAGAAACCCTGAGAATCTGAGCGGAACATGCTGTTTACATGTGGACAGAGAAGAACAGAAGTGAAGATGTTCCACTGAAATAGCATCTGAGTGTATATAAAACAAAGCAGGAAAGTATTCATCAGGAGTACTAGAAAACTCACTGTCTCATCTCCTCTCTTTAAAAAATATTCACATTATTACAAATGCTGTCTGGTATATTTACACTATTCACAATGTTTGAGTACATTACATTTTCTTTCACCTAATTAATTTATAATACTAATATAATGCTCCCTTTAAAGTTAATTGGGAGCTGCTAAGCCATGTGTATCTGGAGTTTACATCCTACAGCTCTAAGGACTAATATTTATTAAAAGGCCAAACTCCAGCTGCCATTTCAGTAAAGCATTAAGATAAGGTACAAAAAAGAGACAAGAATAATAATTAGTCATCAGACAATAAATCAGACCATAACTATATTTCTTATATTAAGTTCAGTATTAGTCTTTTTCTGTGAGGCTAACTGTAAGGTCTCAGCTTTTGGTTTAGGTAAAATGCAGCAGAAAGATAGGGTATTATAAGAAAAAATTGTGGATGGACTTTATTGATATTGCTGTGAGATATAACCATGATTCAGAGACTGCAAGAATGAGCATTTTGTAGGTACCAAAGAGAAAAATTAAGTAAAGCTCCTGCATCCTTACAATCTGTATAAACGTGAATATATGAATATATGAACTGGATAGTTAAAATATCTGGTAAAACTTAATTTTTAAAGAGAATTGTTCTCTTTCCCCCCCCTCTATATAGAATATGGGCTTCTTTAAGAATTTTATTTGCTACAAACATTAAAAATAAAAATGAAAATAGGTAAAAATTTCAGCTTAAAAAATTATATTACTTGGCTTGAATTATTACTATTTACTGTTTTCCAGGGTGGGAAAAAACCAAATAGATCTCCAACTGTTTTCTGAACGGCACCTATTCTTTTTTTATTATTAATTCTTTCCTCCTTTACTGAATATCTCATTTAAACCAAGAAAAAATGTTTTTTCAAAAGGCACTTTTTAGCTTTTTTTTTCTTAATTGTTTGATTGGCCTTTGCAGTGTTATGAAAGAAAAGAAAAAATTCTTCCTTAAGCCTTTTGTCATCTGGCTTCTTTTTGTAAAAATGAATGCATCCTCTTTTTTCAGCTTTCCTTTTTTATAGGACATCATTCTGGAGACAGAAGTACAATAATTAATACAAGGCTGTGTTGCAATCAGTTATCTTAGCACTGGAGAAGCTAGATTCATAAAAAATATATCAAAGCACTTTTTCAGCTATGAGCAGGTAACTGCTTCATGACAAATAGATTTGGATGGCGTACAGTTTAAAGGGGAGTTGGAATGGGCTTTTCATCTGTATTACAGACATGTTCCAGTCCCTGAAATATAGGTCAGCTGCTTCTTTCTTCCATTTGTTAATTCTGCTTATATTCTTTCTAAATAAATATTCTCTCTTCTTCTCTGTCTTATATACTACCAAATGCAGTTAAAACCAATCAGATTCTCACATATATAGATGAGTCAAAATATATTTTATTTGGCTAAGGAGGTGCCAAACCAGCAGAAGGAAGTCCAAGCGCAGTCAGCCACACCTGGAGTTCTGTCTCTTGTCGTTCTCCCTGTGTGCCAAAAAGACAGCAGGAGACCCAGCTCTTGGTGTGCTTAGATTATCTGCTACATACGCATTTTAATCCAGAGATGCTCCTGAACGTAGGATGATCATGAGTCTTTGGCTGGATGA